AGCACGAAGAACGAATTTTCCCCGCTGACAGGTGGAGAAAATGTGCAGCGGAAAAAAAAGAACAACAAACTTTACTCGGGATTTGTTAAGTTTATTTTAACATTTTGATTGCGTTTTGGGGTTTATGCTGATTGCCCGCCCTCTCGTAGGTAAATACAAACTAAGCAGAGCTAGCTTTTACATACCATAAACTATGGTTAGCTTTCAAGATTTCTGAGCTCATTAGGAATATGCTCACACGCATCCTCAAGCACCACAGTTGATCCACAGAGTAGTGTGATTTAAGTATTGGGTTATGTTTCCATTGTCAATTGTGATTTACAGGGGTAACACCACAAAAATGGTAGCAACCTTTAAATCAAGTTACAAATATGAAGCAAATAATTTACCGATAAAAAACACTAAAGCAAAACATTAAACATATCATAAACATGGTTCAAGTCATTATATTGAACACTATTAATAAATATTTAAGACTAGTCCCAACAATTTATACAATGAATATTTTTTATTAAACACTTAAATTGTATTTTTAGGGACTCTTCAAAACTTAATCGTGCTCTTAGCTCGTTATGACCGCTTCAACGTTACGTTAACTGGGCATAGTTACAATTGCCGTTAGAATAAATTAGCCTATTTGCAACGTAAGAGATTTCAGTTAGCCCAACTTAACCAAAAAGCCTCCCCATGGTGTGCTTTCCCATATACCAGGCTCATTATAGTTAACCGCACATTAATGAAATCTCCAAAGAGAGATGTGTGTGATGGGGGGAGGTGGTGTGCTTGGCAGAAAGCAGCTGAAATTTATATGCCACAAGATGCACCCAGCAGGGGGGGGCGGTGGAGATAATCCCAAGCCCCGGGAAGTGAACTGAAGTGAAGACGATGCCAATGACTTGTCCTCTCCTTTCAAAGGGCCTCTGTCTCTGTCTCCGTCACCGCCATCGCCTGCCGTCTGACGCTGATTGATTTGAATAAACGCGTGCATATTTATCAAATTAGCCACAAGCACCGCACAGCGAGACATATCGTCTTGGCCGAGCTGCGGATAGGGGAACTACACACCCATTGAGGCGTATATATATTGTAGTTTCAGGACTCGTTTCCTTGCCCAAAGTGTCATCAACTAATCAAGGACACACGGAGAAAACTATAAGCTAGGTGATTTTACAAACCAGTTAAATATAATTTAATTCAAAGTATACTAAAGCGACTTCATAAACTCTTTTAAAGTACAAAGGATAAGTAAACAAGTATAGGAGAAATTACTAAAGAATTAATTCAACCATAATTTATACAATTGAATTAATATTAAAATAAAATATTTATAAAAAAGAAAGAAAACTAACTGCAACAGATAATACAAATTTTAAAGAGGATTTCCTAAAGAAGGTCGCACCTTTAAAGCATCCCAATTTAGCAGGCAATATTTCACACAAATACATTTCGCTCAGTGCATTGTGAGGGCTTTGCCATTGTAGTCGGGCCCTGGACAGATGAAATGAAGATGAATCTTTTGTGGTCAGCGAAGGCATAAATTTGATCGGAGGCGGGGTGAGCTACTCGAGCGGTGAAAAGTACAAACATCATAATAAATAGGCATATCAAATTGATAAAATGTTCAGCATTCTCGCCTTGATTTTGATTTAAATGCCAGGCCATAAATCAATAAATAAATGAATAAATATTACATCTTTTGTTCTCTGAGATGGCGGCAGTAATAAATAATATCCACCGGAGCAAACTCTTTTAGCAATTCCGCGCTGTCCATTAGCGCCTGGCATAAATAAACAGCCCGAAGTAACCGCCAGCATTGTCCGGCGGCTGACGCCATTAACTCGCATTGTTTAGTCGGAGGGGGGGAAGGGGGAAAAAATAATAATAATAATAATAAAATGGGTTAAGCCTCCTCCTCTTTTCACTCGCACGCAAGTCTCTGACAGAAATTTTAATATTTACTTAGCGCCTTTTAATGCGTTTCCTAAGATTTCCCTTTGCAGTGGCTGGGTTGAGTTTAATAAAAACTTGGGTTAAGTATATTGTTAAAAAGGCGGAAAATAAGATGAAGCGCCCACACAAGGGTTAAGCTGGACACCAGCCAGTGTTGGCCCCATAATTTTGAATAATTCTTTTATTTATTTCTCTCGGCGGCCACAAAAGAGGAACAACAATAAAAAGAGGCCCATGGGACAGCGGAATGGAAGTTCCTTTGATGGGCATTGCATTATATTTTCATTAAAACCCATAATATTTAATGGTCTTTTAGGAGCACCAAACTGTTGAAGCCTTTTCCGTCTAATTAAACGGGCAAGTTAATATATGTAACAAGAAAATAATGACTAGCTTTAAGGGCAGATGTTGAATTACCCCATCTAAATCTTTATTCTGGGTGATAGGGGGTAGTATTTCCTTATATGCTATTTACGATTGTAAAAAAAACCTAAGAAATATAGTCAAGCATCAAATAATAAGTATAGAAATTACATTGAGCACTCAAAAATAATGTAAAGTTATGCTGACGAAACAATTAATGGGGTCACGGCGCGGTGGCGTATACGTAATGCCAATAAAACTTACAAGCCACATACACACACACACGCACATACATACAAAACTACAGGCGAAATAAAGGGAAATACCAAAAATGCCATTTTATTGAAATTTATGGCAAAAGTTTTGCCCACTTTCCCTTCTAGTCGCAGCCTTCCACCATATATTTCAATTAGTTTCAATTTGGCTAAAAAGCCAAACACTCACACAAACATATATATATATAGTGGTATGTGTTTTTTGAAAAAGCCAAAACAAGCTTTTCAATTGTAGAATCAATTTTTGATCACCACAAATACTGGATGAATGAGGATTATTGTGTAGGCTCTCAAAAATGATAATAAAAATAATAATCGAATATTACGCATACGCACCATGTGCGCGGCAAAGGCAATCCCTTTGTTGTTTACACAGCCAGAACCAGAAAAGTATATATAAATATATATGTATATGTATATAGAATGCACGTATGCGAGTATCTATGTCACATGGCAACATCCGATGAGGATTCAGAGAGACGGCCAGCTGCATTGGCCATCGGAACGGAAATGAGAACTCAACGCAGCGGAAATTTAATAACGACCAACAATTTAGCCAGAACGAGGGGAAACAGAGTGGCGAGGACCGAGGGCCACAAGATCGTTGGCAGGACGAAAAGGACATATTTATGCGGCCATTTTGACTGACCGCATAACTGTGCGGCAGTCAACCCATCTCCGAGCTCCCAGCATCAAGTATCCGCCATCGAGACCAGCTGCGACCACGCCCTCCAATTGTTGTTCATTGACAAATGACCATTTCATATGTGAAATGGCAATTCAATTGATTTCTCTGCGCAAACCGTTTGCAATTGAAATGAAAATAGTTCAAATATGTTCGAGCCATCGGTTGCCGGCCGTTTCCCGCCCAGCCCGACTTTGGCCCCAGTAATGAGAAGTATTTCATAAAGCCTGCAGTCCCATTCCCAATGCCGGCCACATAAATTGCTTCATGTTTGGGCGAGAAAAACTGACAACAAATTGTCAATAACAATGGTCGGAGGCGGAGGCAGGCAGGTCGGTGAGGAAATGTTGAAAGCCAAAATGGAGACTTTGTATTGGAATTTATTGCCTAGAACAGTTCAAGCATGTCAACGGGCATAATAATAAATTTTACAGTTTAATTTGACATGAAGTACAATGCGCTTGATGAATCAAAGATAATGTCAACGATATTGCAAAGCCATTAATTAATTGAGAAGCTAAACGTTTGTTACGTAGCTTTTTATCATAGCCTTAATACATGAAAGTTCAAAAAAGGAATTTGCTTAAGAAGCAAGTTATAATATTTTCAAAAAAACACCCTAAGTTAAAGTAAAGGAATTTATTTGATTTATTTCTTCACTTTATTAACGCACAAAATTAATTGTTTGCTTATCAACAAGAACGCATCGTGCGAGGGCAATTTCCTATCAAATTAATTTCCCTAATCAGCAGTCGAGCAAGTCACCATGTTAACTTTTATTTTTGTCGCCAAGCGCACGCATGTCAACCTTCCCTTCGGGGTGACACTCCTTCGCATCGCCCGGAATCAAGTTTATTAAATGCCTGCTGCCTGGGCTCAATTATCTTCTTGACATTCTTTTTTGAAGCCGGTTGTGCTTTGTAATTCATCCAGCTCGGAGCTCCGAACTGCGACGCTGATATGTGGACGACTTCTGAGATGACTGCCAGCTGTGTTTGTCAGATAACAAAGGAGCTCAACTCTGGGCCATCCTTTCGCCATTGTTCATTTCAATGGCAGAGATTCGAGGGGACAGATATTTCCATGCGGATTCTCTGGAAATTAAGTTATGCAGATGAGAGCTGTTATAAAGTGTTGGCATAAGTTGTTCATAAAAATATGAGAAGTGGGAAACCCCCGAATTTGATTTAATTTGCGCCGAGCAATTACAATTCACACGACGAGAAGTTCTCCACTCGAAGCAGCTGAAAGTTCTATCTGGACAAAGCTTAAGCCAAAAAGTAAATTTTCCATTATTATTTTTAATTTAAACGAACTGACAGTCACTCGGATTGCCGCTCCCCTTCGGTCCGAATTCGCACGGGACCACAACATAAAGGACATTTGCATAACAAAAGGCTTTCCCAGTTGCTGCACAATGCAAACATTGCTTAGTCGATTCTTAAATTTCAATTAAAATCCAATTTATATAAAGACAAAGCGGCAAAAATGGGTTTTGTGTATATCGTGTATGTATATCCCCTTTGCTAAATGAATAATAACTTTAGAATGGAGTTAAAAGTGATTGAGACTGTCAATGTGGAATAATACATTTATTCCTTGAACGACAGCAGATGCAGAGGGATTTTCTTTAGAATTGGACTGCAGCTTTTAAAGGAATATAATATATAAAAACATGTGCTTTAAATATTCGCCATTAAAAATGTTCATAAAAGTATACAATACACTTAATTAATATAAACCCTTTATTGTGATCTCTTTACAAAGCCCTCCTTTGCCTCTTTCTCTTGAACTCGAACCTTTGTACCAACTGCAATCTTTGATCCATCTGCTCATAATACCCATTCCGATCCAACTTCTGAGCCAGTTCTCTGAACGATTCTCGATCCTCCCAGTGAAGGCTATACAAAAGGTCAACCATTGCCATGTAGAATTGCTCCCTTAACTTCATTAGAGCATCCATAGAATTTTGGCAGGTCCAGCGAAGCTCGCGCATTCCGTCGGTCAACTCACAGCTTGGTATTAGAAACAGGCTTCTTTCACACGTTTGTCCACCGTATTTAATGAAATAGTCCTTAAAGTTTTCCAGGATCCTGTAGAACTTTTGTTCATAAAAATCTAGGTCCATAATGCCATCATAGAGTTGCTCCAGATACATGTTACATCTCCTTAGACCTTTTGTTTGAAAACATCCCAGCCTAATGGTTCGCAAATAGGTTCTATTAGCACTCAGCATATCGTCAAGGGATTTGGCCTTTTCACAGCCCCGCTTTAGCTTGAAGTAAGCCGGTTCTAACAAGTCCGTAAGCAGGTAATTCTTCAAAACACTCATTGCATCTAGAATAAGACTAAAAAGGACGTCTAGAAGCTGGTCCACTTGGTATATGCAATCGAAAAGCTTGACTTTGGTGCGTTCCTTGAAATGCAAATCGCGCCGGGCTATCATTTCGGTGAGCACATAGTTGGCATAATGGAATTTCCACAAGCCGGGATATATGGCCTCGTACTCCTTGATGTCCTCACCCAGAAGAGCTCTCCAATAGTCTGGCAACCTCAAGCGGAGCAGAAAACAGGACCAGCATTTGCTTCCCTGGCCTGAGCTTCTATCAACATATATGTCGGCGCTCTGACTGGGTAGCAAATGTTGTAGCATGATATTGAACAATTTAATGTTAAATGCAGAAGCCGGTTCCCTAAGAAGACCCTCCAGTTCCTGCATTAGCTCCCTGTAAAAATACATATCCGTGATCATCAAGTACTTGTGCATCTGATAGAAAAGGTCCTCTGGCGGAATGTTCATGTTTCGCAGAAACCTCAGGACCTTGCCAGAGACATCCGAGTGCAGTTTCTGGAGGAAGTCGAAGAGGGGTTCCTGATCCCCGTGCAGGTAGAAATGAGTAAGCAGATGAAGCAGCTTGGAGTTCAGCTCTGTGCTATTCAGTTGAGTCTCCACATTGCGGTTCAAATACTTTTTAGAGTAGGCCACCGTTTTACCCACACTGATCATCGTTTCGGCGAGCTGACTATTGAACAATTTGGAGAACGGTGCTGCCAGTCGATAGCTTTGCTGCCAAAAGTCTTCTGGAGCCAAGATCAAGCTGCGCTCGATGATAAACTCATCGTTATCCGAGGCAGTGAGCTGACCCGACGATAGCCAGCAAGCGAGTCTTGAAACCAGGGGCTTGCTAGCTTCCGACAGCCACATCTGAAGTAATCTATAGTGTTCTCCAGTTCTTTGACCCGATTCCGCGTAAAGCGAAACGATTATGGCCTGGCTCCGATCACGGTTGATCTTGGTAAGCACCTCCAGAAGCCACTGAAGAAGCAACTGATATTTCCTAGTCTGCCAGTACAGGCAGATTACGCTGCAGGGCTGGTTCTTCCTTCGGTCGAGGAAATCCCGGAAGGTCTTTAGCGTCTTTCGCAAGGCTCGAGCGAGGTGAAGACCTGTGTCTCCCCGCTGCTCAAGCCTCTTCAGCTGATCTTTCAGCGAGCGATACAGGTAACCCAAGAGACCCAGAGTCAGCAGGAGGTAGGACTCACCTACGCTCTCCTGGTGATGTGGCGAGCGTATTCGCAGCCGACCAGTTACGGACGAGGCCTTCAGGTGCGGCGACTCCTGGCCCAACATGCCACTCAGGGCATCCCTGAACCTTGAATCTTTGGACATGGGATACTGGTTACTGGTACCCTCATCATCTCTTAATTGGTGGCACAAGGATTCGTAGGCACTCATTTCTTCGGGGCTGAGGAGCAGGTTCAGCTGGTACTTTCCCACCTCGGCCACCCATTCGGAGTAGCTTATATTTCTGGGTAGTCCTCTTTTAATTTGTTGCAGGATATTGACTAATCGCAACTGAATCGATCGAGCCCGAAACGGCAACTGGTGGCTCGGGTTACTTAGGCCAATGATCTCGAATAATTGGTTGACTTGCTCGTAGAAATTCGGGGCTTGGACACTCTTGTAGGCGGGATTTGATTTGAAGAGTTGAACAACAACTCGCGGAGCTATTATGATGTGGTTTTGGTGTTCCCAATGAACCTTTTTCGGTAGAGAAGCTACCGAATGGCTTACCTCTTTTATTAATTTTCCATGTTCAAAATTATCCGGGTGGTTTTCCAAGGGGATTTTGACATCTTTGACAATTTCTTCAGGAAATTTAGGTTCTGGTTGACTTTTTACGCTCAAGACCGACAAAGATTGATTAATTTTCTTTAAAAATGTTGTCTTAATATTACTAACAGTTTGGGATGAATGCATTTCCTGTTTAGATTTTTCATTTTCCACCACAGGGGAGGGTTCTTTGATAAGTAAATTAGTTTCGAATTGCTGTCTAGGAGCTTTGATGATTTCTGAATTGGCTTTTTGATTTTCTAAATATTGAACATCTTCAATTTCCGTATCATATTCCTCGTCCAAAAAAGAATTATTAGAATTTACAGAGGAGTTATGGTTGCATGTATGAAAAGATATGGGTGTTCTATGGGAAAGGTCTCCGAGGCCATCGTTCTTCAAAGTATATTTACCAATTGATTTCTTTTTAACCAAATCGTAATTTAGAATATATTTGTCAACGCCAATGTCAGGGTCATCGGAAGAAATGGTATATTTACCAGTCTTTTTAGATAGAACATCGATATCATTAGCTGGAATATTCAAGGAATCCGACAGATTGGCATAGGTATGTACAGGTACTTTTCCATCATCTGTGTCTTTTAGTTCTATTAAACGTTTGTCAATTGCTTGTGGTTTGTAAATATGAAAATCTTTGGAATTTTGTAGATCGGATTTTTCAATTTTCTGCAGGCTATCAATCTCAGAAAGTCCCTTTTGGCATAGGCATTCCTCCATCCTTTTATAATCTTCAATTTTCATCTGATTGTTTTTGTTATTTGTTATACTACATGTGCTTTCTTTAAAGCAATCAAACCTTGGACTAGCAATTGTAAAGATTGCCCTTGTTTGCAATTTTCTAGAATCGGTTTTGAAGCTCTCTCGCAAGCTTTGAACTTGTAAGCTATTCGATACTTCCAATTTTTTGCTGGATTTAAGTTTTAGGCGGTCGGAATCAAAGAGTTCATAAAATAGCGTCATGTACTGACATCGCTTGGCCTCATTTGGCTCGATATCCTTCAGCTGCTTGTACAGCTGGATCAACCTGTTACTCCTAGCTTCAATCAGGACTCTCTCCTTAGCATTCGCTCCTTGGCTTAACTGCTCGAATCTCAGCCGGAAATTGGCGAGTAGAACACTTTCAGAGTAACCGCCCAAAGGTGGAGACTGTTGCTCTAAGATCTTCGTGGACTTGCACACGTCATGGGTTAAATTATCCATACAAATGCTCAGCTCACTGACATCCATCACCAGATCGTTATCCACATCCTTGTTGGAATTAAGCCATGGGAATCCCTGTTCCATATCGGGTTTTAGCAAAACTCTGGAGGATCAGCAGAAGAATACTCGTTAGAAAAGTTGTCTCATTCGATTGAAATCTCTTACCATTAAAAAACAAAATCGTATCAATGTATGTAACTTGAAATTCTACCAAAAACTGACTAGTTTTTCAGTGCTAGTATATGCAAACGAATTATATTTCGTTCTTGGTTGCCCCTGCATGTGCCACGGACCAACCATTCACAATAATTAACCCATAAATCTGTCGCAAGATTGTCGACAAGTACAAAACTGAACCAAGCCATTCAGCAAAAATTGCGGCGACGCCTTTGCACCTTTTGCAGGAACAAGAGCATTGCGAACATCCTATGAACAGGAGTTGTAGCCGCCGCAGCCTCCGCAACCTATGCAGCTCCCCGCCAACTTTCCATTCATTACATGGCTCTCAACGCGCCGCGAATCTCGAGTGGCTGTGGATGTGAAGGTGCGGGAAATGTATGACGCTACTTTTAACCTCAGACCGTAAAAAGTTTTGCTGCAGCAAAGGGAAACTATGCAAAGATAAGTGAAAAAGATTATATATGCATTGTACTAAAATTTACCGCCGACATGAGTGAGGCAGTTGAGCGAGCTCGGGGGGGAGCTGCCCCGTTGCCCAATTTTCTTTCGCACAAAATGGCACAAAATTTACGTGCAGGCAAGTCAAATGTAACGGAACAGGAACCGGAAACAGCCATTTAAAAAGGCAGCTCAGCAGGCAGAGAAGGACAGGCACAGAAAAAAAAGTGATCAAAATGAACTCAACTTCCTTTTTTTTTTGGCAACAGGCCTTTTCCATCCTGAATGGAATCGCAAATGGCAACTGCAACAGGGTTTCGGGTCAAGCGGAGAACATTTATTTCCATTCCAACATTCGTGTGAGGAAAATTGGTTGCGGCAACCTGACAACCAAAGTGATTTCCTTAAATAATGCGAGAACTATTGTTCAGTCATCCCTTTAGGAGAAGGGAAAATAGGTAACCTATTTCATTCATTCATAACCATAGTTTAGAAGCTAACTAGGCGTTATTTTTAGTAGCACAGATTAACAAGAGATTTAATTCATTTGACCCCAGGAATGACTGTCTTAGTCAGGAATATAAGCCTCTGATATCAATTCAACTTCGATTCGCAAAGCCTCTGTAATCGCACAGCCAGGCATTACAGCCACTGTCTTGGAGTCAAACATTTTCCATACCATTTAATGTTTAACCCACTTTTCGGTCTATCTCAGTATTAACTCCCACTCTAAGCACCCGGCAAACTCAATGGACAGTGCACAATGGGCGCCCCGACAATCCCTAACTAAGCTGCCCCTCCCTGGGGGAACTATAGCTACGGACTCACTTATGTTGTAGTTACCGATTCATGTGCATGTTGAACAAACGACTTCAGTGAACAATGCAAATAATTGTCAAACTTAGCCGGGCACAAAGAAAGTCAGCTATAGACAGAGCTGCAGAAAAAAAACCTGGGGCCCAAACCCTTGCAATGAAGGGAAGCATATGATTTTTATAGCCCTGCCGCCAGGCATTGTGCAGAGTTGTTGGATATCGCGAGGAAATATACTGAGAGAAAAAGTTCTGTAGAGCTTAAGGTAATGAAATGATTCATGGAAATGTAAGGTAAGTTTTGGAGAAGAAACTATTTATGTTTCATTTAAATATTGAATACCTTAATATTATTAATATTAGTATTATTTATAAGGTATTAAATCTTTGTGACAACGAATGATATGTTTATAACAGGAAGAAGGACTCTTCTCTTATTCCAAACAGTATGTGTATCTAACTTATCCTCTCAGTGCATCAAAACGCTGTACTAAAAAAAAACGAGCAAATCCGCTCTGATTGTCTCAGGGAATCCTGAAATCGGGTGGCAGGCATTCAAACGTGCTAAGCGGCGCTTTAATCGCGCGCAAATACGAATGGAAAAGTGCAGGACAAATCGACAAGTGCCACAAGTAGAAGCCAGACATGATCGAGCGACAGACAGACAGAATGAAAAAAGAAGGTGCACATTGTTGGCCCGTCGTCCGCTGTCATTGGCTTTTCACATTTCAATGAGCCCGGGCTGGAACTGAAGATGGGAGCCACTGCGTCCGCGTCCCTTCTGTCGAACAATGAAAGTCAATAAATTTGATTTGACATTTCCTTGAGAGACGCCCCACTTTTTTTTTTTTTTTTTGCGCTGACTTTGCACATTTCCCCTGGATTGTTTGCCGCCAAGCCAGCGATTGTAATTCCATTATTATGCCTGACAAAATGTCACACATTCCGTTTTTTAATGATCTGGGCGTTCTTTGAGCCATGTTTTTATCAATTGGAATAGCGGTGTGAGAGCACTGCCTTGTTCTTGGGGCCCAAGTGTTGCACTCCATTAGGCAGGCACAGAAATGTTTAAGGAATAAAGAGCCATCGGAGAAGGTACAAGACTTTATCTTTAAATCATTCCCAAGCCGAGATTGGTTATTGAAAACTAATATTTATGAAATCGGCAAGCACAGGACTGGCTGATCATCCAGTGGCTCACCTGAATTGGCTTGATTATAGGCAGGCATCGGCATCCTTAATGCCCGTTTTGCTAATATCGAACTGCACACCACACAAAATTAATCATTGATTCCTGGCCCCGGCCGGGTACTGAGTGTGTGTGTGCTTTCTCGAAATTTATGCACTGCAGCAAGTTTGCGATAATTGAGACTGGAAACTGGAAACTGCAATTGCTGCATATCGTAACCAGGAAATTAATTTACATTTACTACTAACTTTTGATTGCCCGGCATCTCCGGCTGATGAAGGGATGGTATTATTTACCGAGTACAAGTAGAGAGAGCGCTTAAAGAATCAAAACACCGGCTTAGAACCCTAATACTAATTAAAATCATACAAACGAGGAGGCACTGGCGGCAATTAGAAAATGAGCAGCAAGACAAAGGACTAAGGACTAAGGGCTAAGAGGAACCGGCAATTACGTGCCACATTTTGAGCGTAATTTTATGGCAGACATTGGGAGCCAGCTCATATCGCATCGTAAGTTTACGGCATAAGCTGGTGCTGCACCTCCTCCTCCTCGCCACTAATCCTTTCGGGATGTTCTCGCCTTTAGACATTTGCTCGGCACATACAAAATTTAAAACATCTTGAGACTGTGGCTTTTAATTGCATTGTAATAGCAACTGGCTGTCTGCATTCTCCCTTTCCTGCAGCAGGTTGCAACGAAATTTAATGCTTATTACATTTTGGTATTTAATATGAAAGGAAAACATTGAGGATGGACAGGGCATTGCCCTAAGTGGGTTCTGATCTCGGTTTAAATTTACTTTTAAAGATCCAATGTATTTCAAATAATTTGCAAAGTGTTTTTAATTAACAAATTAATCTATAAAGATTAAAAATGATAAGGAATACCCTTAGGGTATTTTAGCTTTGAGCCATTTACTTGCCCAAAACACACATCCTTTGACGTGCACACCAACATCCGAATTATAATAGCAACCGCATTTGGGATTAGCCATATTACCAGGCCTAAGGACAATAACATGCTATACTTTGATATTATTTAAGTATTAAGCCTTTCGGCAATTGCATAAAATTAAATTGCAATTTACTCAAGAGCCGAACAATTCCAATATACATATGTATGCATTTAGCACATTCACACAAACAACAACACATGTGAAGTTTGTTTTGTTTTGTTTTGTGGCCAACTGAGTTATTATGACGTTGTTTGCCATCCGACTGCGTGAGCTAAATATGTGAAATTTGTGTGCTCATTTGTGGCTAGTTAAATGCATTTATCGGAGTCGAAAATATCCAGGATTTCTGACATAATGTCAATTTAATTGGCGCTGGAATGGGCTAAGGATTCGTCCAAATACCAATTGGCGAGCCTTAAACAAATATTAAATTCCACACACGACAAGTGTCGGAAAGTGCTTCTTCGCATTCCACTCACTTTAGATTAAAATTCCCCTGGCGATGGATGGCAACTCTTTCGCTTCTTTAGCCACGCAACAAATTAAAAAATTGTGCAACAATTGAAAGCACTCAAAAAGCATGAGGAGCAGCAGAAAAAAGCCGAGAAATTGTCAAGAAAATGCAACGATGTTCATGCCACTTACAGGAAGGACTAGAGCAGCCAAGATAACGGCCAAAGTGCGACAAGAAATTAGAAAAGGAAACCAAGAGCGTGTTAAAGTCAAGTTACAACCGACCAAGAGATACCCCCCAATAGTACAAGTCTACGTTCTGAGACAGGATTGTACTGTACCTTGCTAATAATGTTAAAGTTCGATTGGTTTCTTAATTTACTTAAGACCTCCGTGGTGATGCAGACTCTATAAACCAACTTGCTGCACTTGTCTTCTAAGCATTGCCACAATAGTAGAGTCTCAATTTCTATGGATTGAAATCTATACTTTAGACTTGGCAAAAACACTTATTTATAAACTCGAAAGATATGCCTTCCTTGAATACAATATACTCGTCTTCTTCCCCGGCTATACTGGGCATAAAGTGGGAGAAATTGGAAAGGAAAGCCAGGCGAGCAAATGCCAAGGAACAAGGAACACAATGAGATGAGCAAGCTGTCCTGCCTGGATGTTGGGACTAAGGACTTGCAAGGTGCCTGGAAAGGGGCGACGGGTCGGTGGCGGTTCCCGGACCGGATCGGTGTCGGTGGCACGTGCAACACTTGCCACAGTAATTGATAGCACGCTAGAGTGATTCGTAGTGCAATTCAAGGCAGCTTTTGCCTTCTTGCACCGCTGCGCGACAAATTTATTTGTTATATTTTCATTTCACTTATTTTCATTGTTATATTGTATGAGATTAGAACGCCAAGGATGCATTCAACTTTCAGAAGATATACGAATGACAAAGCAGATGGTTTCTTAGGCCTCAAATTGATTTAACTAACGTTACATTAACCTTTTTAAGTAATTGTAAGGAAATTTTAAAAATATTAATACACTTATACCGATATATAGATCGATATTTTAGATATGTTTATTTGAAATTCTGACCCATTTCTTAAAAGTTAAATGTATCAAAGAAGAGCCTTAAATTAGTTGAAACATTCTATATTAGAAATAAATATAAATGTTATCAAAA